AATTCTCGCGACGCCTTCTCGTCTCTTCAGGTCGAGAGTATCTACTTCCATACTCGTCTCGGGGGGAGTCGCCTTGGCGAAAGGAACGTCGATGTCTATTGTCTCGAGGCTCATGGCGTGGGACACCCGACCGAGAAGATCCACTTCTCTCTCGGCGGTCTCGCGTCGCTTTCTCCCTTGAGGGAGCCCGTTGCCTTAGGGGGCGTGGTGATCGACCACGTGCTTCTCTTCGAGGGGCCCGGTCTGAGGCTGAGCTATGCTGATGCGACTGGGGCTGAGCATACCTTCGAGGAGCCCGTTCTGAAGAAAGGCTTCGGTCGCTGAACGACACCCTTTCCTCAGAGTCGTGGAGTTCTACGATGGGCGGAGTCACATGGACGTGAGCGGGATCCGTGGGATCGCTTTCTGAAAGAATCGGCTCTTCGAAATCACTATGGCCCTGAGCGCTGATGTATTGGGCTACTGCGTCCGCTGCTGCCCAAGCTGCTGCCTTGGCCGCGGTCTCGTCCATCATGGCTTGCAATTCTTCCGCCGTCATCTGGATGATCGGCACTGAAGGTCCCGTAGTGCTGGTTCCTCCTGCCGTTCGCTTTCTTCGGGGCGGATCCGGGATCCCGACGCCGGCTCCTTGTTGAGGCGGATTGAGACTACCTTGACCACCTCCTCCCGTGTCACGTGATCGAGTTTGCATTCCCACAGACGGCGCCAAAATGATGCTGCTCAAATGATAATTGGGCAACCCAAGAGTCCTTGAGCCCACAAAGATAGAGAATGCCGTGAGTCACTGCCACGTGTCCGAGGTAGTCGAAGGGAATGCTCCGCTCGTTAACCTACAAAACAATTGAAACACTAGATGACACGCCGGGTTTGGCCCGGCGATTATCCTCGTCGACGATGGTCGAGAGATGTATTAATATAAGCAAATAATAGTAATTAATTGCCAAATTAGAGTCTACCTTCTTATGTGAAATGACGCATGTATTTATAGGTGGATGAATAGGTAGGACTTTTGTAAAAATCCGATGTGGGACAATGTGTTGTCATTTGTAAAGGTGAAAAGGTAATCTAATTGAGTTTTGGCACACAATTAGATTAATTAGACAATTTGGGCCTAATCTTAATTGGGTTAATGGGCCTAATTATGATTAGACACATCATTAAGCCCCCCACTTCCAAGTTGGGTCATGGGTTTGTGAGCCTAGTTGGAAGTAATATATAAGGCCTCCCACGCACTTGTAGGGTTTTTTATTTTTTATTCCTGAGGTTTCTTCTTTCTGAATTGTGCTAGCGAGATTTGAGAATAATCGGCGAACTTCCAAAGGTATAAATATTTTTTGCAAATCCTCCCTTTTTTATTCGAGTCCTTGTGTCGTTGGTTTTACCCGTATTTTGTTGTTCGGAGCCTCGAAATTGTGTTTCATAAAGGCGTAGGAATTTAATGTCGGGTCTAAGGTTGTTGGACGAGTCTAGCGACGAACTATGTGGAGTTCATTCGGAATCCGATAATTTTGAAGATGGGAATTCGAAAAATCTTGATAGCCGGGTTGAAAGAGGTCGAAATTTGGAGTCCGGGAGTACCAATTTTGTGAAATTCGGAGTTGCGAGCGAGAAGTTATGTGCGAAACAGTGTAATGGTTCGTTGTTCGAGAAAAATTCCAATACTGGCGGCTATGGCATCGAATTCCGTGCCAGAAAGGAGGGGGTGACGTCAGCCCTGGGAGGCGTGACGTCACCGGGCGTCGAAATCTGTGCAGATGGGCGGCCGGGCGGATCAACTCGAGCGGATCGAGCGAGTCGGGTGGGTGAGTCGACTCGGGCAGGCGGGTTGGGCCGGTCGGGCTGGGCAACTCGGTCGGGTGAGTCGACTCAGTTGAGTGAGTCAACTCGGTCAGGGGAATCGGGCGAGTCAACTCGGGTGACTGGGTTAACTCGGGCGGAAGTGGAGTGTGACGTAAGCGTGACGTCACACGGGGCGGGACCAGGGACTGCTGCGCGCGTGGAGCGCGTGGGCGGGGACCGCCTGGAGCGCGTGAGGCGCGTGGGGCGCGTGAGGCGCGTGGGAACAGATGCTGGGAGCTGTTCCGCGCGTGGGGGCACGTTCGGGCCGTTTCCGGCGCGTGTGGAGTGCGTGCAGGGCCGTTCGGAGTCCGTTTTTTCCGCTGAACCCCGTGTTTCAGCTCCCAACTCAGATGTGGGCCCGGAGTTTCGTTCCGTGGAGTTAGAATGTAGCGATCCTGAGACTTGGGCGTGGTCTCGACGGATTAATGTGTTTGGGACGAACTTTTCTCAAAAAAATTCCGTGGTTCGTGGGTCGAAGAGAAGACGTGAATTTGAGGTGGACGAGAGCGTGCTGACCGATGAGGAGGAAGAATTAACCGATTTTTCCGGCGTAGTGTATCTGAGGAATATTCAGGAATATGTTCCGAATTAAATTTCGACTCCTCCTTTAGAGTTGGTCAACTGCCCGAGATTCTGGACTATCTACGTGTCGAGCATGCTATTGAGATATTGGTTCCGTGTAAAGGGGAGAGATGTTATGCCCCTCCTGATGGCTACTTTACGGTATTCCTTGCATCTTTTCCTGTTGGATTTACTTTGCCACCTCATCCGGTTCTTGTTCAAATTTGTCGAGATGTGAAGGTGAGCCTCAGTCAATTAACGCCGAACGCATTTCTTTACTTCAAAGGGTTTTGTCATCGCGCTGAGTCCGAGGGTTTTCCAATTTCGGCGAATTTATTTCACTCCATGTTTCTTGTGAAGCCGCTGAGGGACAAAGCTCCTAATTTTCATTTTCATCCTCGGTCGAAATGCAAGTTTTTGAAGAAAAATGAGAATAAATGGGGGAGTTGGAAGGAGTGGTTCCTATACGTGCGGAATGATTGGGAAGTTCCTTCTGTATGGGGTGAAGTGCGTCCCGTTGAGTGGAGTAATGAACACTCTAGACTCAAAATGGATTGTATCGGGATGGGTTTTTTCGATTATTTCTTCGACCCTTTGACTTTATTTTCTAAGGGTAGAGGAGTTGTGCTGTATTGATTGCTCCGTCCTCTTTCTTTATAGTTTTCTTGAAACTAATATTTTTGTTTTTGCTGTTTTCGTGTTCTGCAGGTGAGACGATGAGCTATAATGATTTCAAACGTCGTTGCATGAACAATGGTTCCTCGAAGCCTGTGTCTCGAAACACACCTCCGGTCTCAAAGCCTATGGCGAGGGAGTCGGGAAGAGGCACTGCTGAGGATCGAAGCAGTGGGAAAAAACCAGTCCATGGGGTGGGATCGTCACGTGGTTCGGAGGTGGCTGTGAAGAAGAGCGCTGGAGTCCCAGATCCCAAATCCGCCGACAAAGGTCGTCTTGCTATGGTGAGTGCGTCTCCACTGCCTTTGAGCGAGCTCAAGTCCCCCTCCGCGTCCGGGGATACTCGCGTCGCCCCTATCGTCGTGCGTGAAAAAAGGCCTCGCACCTTAGGAGTTGAGGAGTTGGTGTTACCGCCCGTTAATGCATGGAAAGGGAATTTTGTTGCTGGTGTTGATAGGACGCAAAATGGTGGTTCGGTGTTTGACGTTCTTGATAGCGCCTTGGCCATGGAGAAGGTAATGGGTTTCCCGACGGAGTTTGATTCGACTCGTCTTGCCGGGAAACCTCTAGACGAGATGATCGAAGGGTTGGCGTCCTCCTTTGCTCGGGTTAGTATCAGATTTATCATGCCCCTCTATATTCGATTTATTAGTACTATTAATAATAATAACTCCTGCCCCTTTTATTTATTTTTTAGACTATGACTTTCGTGCCCTTGATTATCGATCGCGGGAGGGGCTTGGAGGCTGAGCATGCCAAGATGCAAGCAGAGAAGTTGAACGTTAATTCGTTGTATGCGGGTGTTCAGGGTGTCAATGCCTCCCTTCGCTCAGAGATTGAAGGTTTGAAGAAGTCTCTGGATGAAGAAAAAGGCAAGCTGAGTGCCTTGGAGAAGAAATGTCAGAGCTTGGTGACACGTGCGGATGATGAAAAATCGGCTCGTCTGAAGGCCGAAGCTAGGATTAAGGATCTGAGCCTATCTTTGAAGAATGAGAAGACCGACGCGCTTTCTTTCATGGAAGCCCATAAGGGGTCGAATGATGTCTTGAAAACGCCTTTGGGTTTGATGGTGGTTGACAAGTTCTTAGGGAGCGAATCTTATATCGAGCTGCGGGATAGTTATGCTAGTGGGTTTTTTGCGGAGATCGTGCGGGATATCCGCAGTCAAGTTCGTGCTACAAAGCTTGTCCCAGAGGCTATCCTACGGGAGATAGAGCCGAGCGTTTTGGAACTTGAGCCAGAAATTGGGGCGGAGAAAATTGGCGCCCTGGTTGAGGGCGATGAGTTTGATGAGATGCCCGAGTCTGCTGGAGCTGAGAATGCTAGCGTTAACCCGACTGCCTAGTAGTGTAGTCGTTTATCAGTTTCTACTCGCTTGAGAGTAGTAGTATTTTCCTTTATGACTTATTTCTAAGACTTTAGTCTTTTCTATGTTTTTTTTATTTGCACGTTTTTGCTTTATGAATGGAATTTTACTTTTGTTTTATTTCCATTTCGCAATTTTCGTGCTTTTTTGATACTTAGTGGATGATCAGTCCCCTAAGTTTTTATGTAGGGGCTCCGCATTTTTGCCTTCTTTTCTTAATTTAGGGCTGCGGAGTCCTTGAGAATTTGATTTCTCTATCAACTTGTGCTTTGGGGAGTGAGATAACAAAGTTCGAGTTGGCCAGACCCTTGTGATCCTTGTTATCTTCCCCTTTAGCAAGGACTTGTTTTTTTTTTTTTTTTTTTTTTTTTTTTTTTTTTTTTTTGGGAGTCGGGTGGTCACCCCTTCGATTGAAGCACTTCATAGCAATAATAATAAAAATACTAATGAATTTCAATAGAATAAACAAAAATTAATTGTCATGACACAAATGAAGACGGTCGCAGATTAGAGTGGGCGGTATGCCTCAAGCGAAAATGTTTTATTTAACTTCACGTGGCAAACGATATGCTGCCAACTTATTACATAATTTAAAAGCGTTGCGGCGAGCGGTATGCTCCCGACTTATTCCCTAGCTTAAGCGTTACAGCGAGCGATATGCTCCTGATTTATTATTGAGAAAAAAAAAAAAGGTTGCACGCCTGAGGTGCTAAACTAAATACTTCTTCAAGTTCCCGATCACTTTTCTTTTGGAGGAAATCTACGAGTTTCGCCTCCGTTTCGGGCTCAAGGCTGGTTTCTGCTCAGAGTAGTTTATCTTGATCGCCCGGAATCAACTCTATGCTTTTCAGTTCTTCTACTGCTGCGAGCCTCGTGCCGCTGGCCTCTTGATTGGTCGAGGGGGTGATGAGGTTGTCTTTAACAACCATCACCCATTTTCTCTTTAGGAAATTGGGAGGGTCATCCCCTTCTCCCACTTGCTTTTTGTTCCGAAGTTGAGGTGCCCTCAAAGTATTCGCATAACACTCTCGAGCTACGCGTTGATCGCCTACGGCTTCTCCAATTCCGTTAGTCGTAGGAAATTTCAACTTCATATGATAGGTTGATGGGATTGCTCTGAAGAGGTTCATACTTGGCCGCCCCAAAATTACGTTATACGTTGATGGTGCCTTGACGACCAAGAAGTTAACCGTGTTTGTTGCCCGACGTGGAAATGAGCCCAAAGATAAGACTAGGGAGATTTCTCCCAAAGCTTCGACGGCGTGTCCTGCAAACCCCACTAGGGGTGTTTTCACAGGCGCGAGTTTCGCATTGGCTATCCCTAGCTTTTCGAAAGCGCCGTAATATATAATATCAGCCGAGCTACCGCCGTCTACCAAAATCTTCTTCACCAAGTAATTGGAAATTGATGCTGAAATGACCAACGCATCGTTGTGTTCACCACGTGGTCCCTCGAGATCGTCGTCGCTAAATGTAATCTCTGGGTTTGGGTGATGAACATGGTAAACGTGTCCTGCCGGACGTTCTGTCGTAGAGTACGAGCCTCCTGCAGCCCGCATTGACGCGCGTCGTGCGCTGGGGGTATCACCACTCGAGGGTCCTCCGGAAATGACTGCAATTATTCCTTGAGTCGGAAGATTGTCATCCTCCCGATCTTTCCGAGCGTTGGGATGTTCTCCTTTCTGCTGGAAGTGGGGTTTATTTTTGAATTTCTGGTGTCGCGGGGTATCCACGAATTCTCCCAAGTGTCCTTTCTTAATCAATCTCTCGATTTCTTGCTTAAGTTGAAAGCATTCGTCGGTAGTGTGGCCCCGATCTCGATGGTACTCGCAGTATTTTTCCGATTTTTGCCTTTTCAAATTTTCTTTCATTTGTCTCGGGGGTTGGACTAAACCTTTCTGCTCCGCTACCATCCACACATCCACGAGTTTTGCTTTTAAGGGGGTGAACTTTGGATAGGTAGAAGCGTGGTTCGAGCGTCCTTCTTCTTTCCTTTTTGTATCATGGCGTTCTTCTTCGCGCCTCCTCTTCACGGGGAGCCCCATCTCTACGGCCTCCTCTATCCGGATAAATTTCTCCGCGCGGTTCAGAAGCTCCTCTAGAGTTTGCGGGGGTCGGCCTGCGATGGATTCTTGGAAGCGAACATGCTTCAAGTTATGTTGCAGTATATCGGCTAGCAGGTCGTGGTTAACATTGGGCACCTCGTGTACAACTTTGACGAACCGTTGTACATAATCCCTTAACGGTTCTCCTTCGCGTTGTTTGACTTTGAAGAGGTATGATCCGGTTTTGGCGTATCTCTTGTTGATGGAATACTGGCTAAGGAAGCGTTCCGATAGTTGGCCTAGACCATCCAAGGATCCTCCAGGTAGACCGTTGAACCAAGTTTGTGCTTGATCAGTTAAGGTAGTTTGGAAATTTTGCAGTAGGCGGCGTCGCTGAGGCCGTATGGTCGATCTTAGC